AGCTGGGAAGCTGTCTTTTTCCGGGGGGAGGGTATATGATACACAGTAATGCTTCAGGGCTGTGAGCACAGTCTAATTCTTTGAAGCTGCAAGCGTGGAAACTGCCAGCATTCCATTGTGTTTGTCTGTATTGGTTCAGGGATACTGACTTGGACTCCTGGCCTGAAGAGCTCAGTGCCTCAACTCTGGGAGAGGTTTGGGGCCTGTCTCATAAGGACCCTTGGCTCTTCCTAGACAGCCAGATGCCAGTCTCTCTCCCAAGGTGACTGAATAAGATCCCAGGGCCATTAGATGGACAGCCTGCTTCCTTGTAGTCCAGTGGACCTCCTGTGGGGTGGGCAAAGTGTAGTAGGTTTCTGGGCATCCCTTTGTGATGAAAAGTTTGCTCTCCTTCTTTTCACAGTATGCAGTCCAGCAAGGGGATTCCCTGCAGCAGCAGCAGCAACAGCAGCAGCAGTACTATCAATGGTATCAGCAGTACAGCAGCTACCTCTATCCGTATAATTATTATTATCCTATGGTAAGTAGCAGTGGCTGGCAAACTCCTCAGTGCCCCTGCCCTCTGCATGCCCAGTGGCATTGGCAAGGGGCAGCAACTTCTATAACTATAGAGCCAGATGATGTCATAATTCAGAGCAACAGAGCAACAAAGAGATGGTATAAGAACACTCATTTGCATAACTGAGAATATTCCACTTAACATTGATAATAATCCATAAAGCTTCTGCTCCGTAAACAGTGGTTGTTGTGAGTCCTTTATTAAGAAAGTGGTGCACACAAGGTCTCACAAAAAGTAATAAATATACACAGGAGCACCTTGCGCAGTTGTTCTAGTGCATTGCCACAAATCTGAGTATGGTTCACACTTACATAGGTGCACATCTATCATTTCCCTTTCTCTAAAGCATCTCCAGGAAGCCCTCTAGTCACTTCAAAATCTTTGCCTGCCATTCTCTTCACATAAACAGTGATACCTGCTCCGGTATACTTGCAGCTCTGGCACCATAGGATGTAGATCCCTGTTTCTGAGCACCTCTTTGTGACATGCTCTTCAGCTGCTTCTTTCAGTTGGAAAGCTGGAGGGATCTAGAGCACTGATTCTAAAATTATAGGTCAGGGAGGGACTCAAAATTATCATCATGGCAGGATCCTCACCTGAAGCTCCTGCGCACATGGAGGTGCCTTGTACTGAGTCAGACAACTTGATCCATCGAGATCAGTGTTGTCTACTTACACGGGCAGCGGTTCTCCAGGTTCTTACATGGAGGTCTTTCACATCACCTGCTACTCGGCATCTCCAGTTAAGGAGGATCAGGGATTGAGCCTGGGACCTTCTGCATGTGAAGCAGATGATCTACCATTGAGCCATGGCCCCTCCAGCTGTATCAGATAATCCAGATGTGGTTGGGGGATGCAGATAGTCTATGAAATGTGAGAATAAATTCAGAATGTCAAAACTAACCATGAAGCAGAGATATCAAAAAGCTGGAGACAAACACTGGGCAGAGGAGCCGGAAAACAATTTTGCATGAAATAATATTCTGGACATAACTGCTAATTATTAAAAGTTATATCTTTAGAAGGAGAATGGGGGCGGATCGGTGGGTGGCCAGTACGAAATTAAAATCTAATTTTAGAATTTGCCCATTGGGCTCTGGGTTGCCTTGCTTTACTGATCTGGTTCTGTGGCTTCCTGGTTCTCCCCAGAATGTCTACCCTGGATACAGCTCTCCTGGACAATATGGCATCCCAGGCTCTTACTCCTCTACAGCGCCCCAACAGCCGCCAGCTCCTGGCCAACACCAAGGGAACATGAACCAGGTAATGGACACACAGCTTTTACTGAGCTTCTCTCCCTCCCCCTTTTCCACTCTCCAGAGGGTTGCCACATTGGTCTGTAGTAGCTAAATAGGAATCAGGCGGCACCTTTAACCAAGCTTATTCCAGCCTAAGCTTCTGTGAGTTTGAGCACATACCATTTGCATTTGACGGAGTGAGTACTGATCTGTGAAAGCTTATACTGGAATAAACTTGGTTAGTCTTAAAGATGCCACTTGATTTCTGTTTTATTTTGCCTGCTTTGCTTGAAAGACAAAATCGGTTACTAGAGAAGACACCCCCACCAAATTCAGAATCCCCAGTTCCATATTCACCTTGACGGTTAAGAGCTAATTCAAAAGAAGAAGTCAGGTCACTCCTTGCATTTCACCCTCTCTCTGACACAATAAATGACTTCCTATGTGGGAAGAGCATGTGTCTGTTTTAAAAGTATAGTTGGACTCATTCTCAGCAGGAGGGTGTTAGCCTGGTTTCCCTGTCTTATGTCACCCACCCAAGCCCGCCCTCCTGTTTGTCTTGGACTCAGCCAAATTCTGCTTCTTATTGGCTTCCTGGCAACGCCCCCTCCCTTGGTGTAGGCAGTTAAACAAAGCCAGTTGTATTTCATACCATGCAGCTGAATTGCATGATGTATACTTTGGCTTCCCAAATACATGTGATATCCCCACCCCAAGCAGTTCCCTTGCTTCAGAAGCTTGAAGTGATGGTGTGTTCATTGGTCTGTGCAGGGAGAGGACATCAGAACATAAGAACATGAGAAGAGGCCTGCTGCATAAGACCAGTGGTCCATCTAGTCCAGCATCCTGTCTCACACCGTGTCCAGCCAGTTGCTCTGGACGGCCAACAACGGCATAGAGGCTGAGGCCTTCCCCTGATGTTGCCTCCTGGCTCTGGGATTCAGAGGCTTAGTGCCTCTGAATGTGCAGCTTCCCCTCAAGTCACCAAGGCTAGTATCCATTGTTATCCTTCATGAACCTATCTAATCCTCTTTTAAAGCTGTTTATTCCTGTGGCCATCACGACACCCTCTGGAAGTGAATTCCACACTTTAAGCACTCTGCGTAAAGTAGGACTTCCTTTTGTCGGTCCTGAACCTAATGCCTGACAGTTTCATTGGATGCCCTTGAGTTCTAGTATTTTGGGAAAGGGGGAAATTTTCTTAACTCTCTCTACCTCATGCCTAACTTTATAACCCTCTATCACGTCCCTCCCTTAGTCGTCTCTTTTCTAAACTGAGAAGTCCCAGAGTCTTCAGCCTTTCCTCATAGGGAAAGTGTTCCAACCCTTTTATCATTTGAGTTGCCCTTTTCTGCCCTTTTTCCAAAGCTATAATATCCTTTTTAAGGTGTGGTGACGAGAACTGCACACAGTATTCCAAATGAGGCCTCACCATAGATCTCTATAGGGGCATTACAATATCAACTGTTTTATTTGCAATCCTTTTCCTAATAATCCCTAAGATCAGCCAATATCATAATGCCCCTATATAAATCAATGGTGAGACCTCATTTGGAATACTGTGTGCAGTTCTCGTCACCACACCTTAAAAAGGATATTATAGCTTTGGAAAAAGGGCAGAAAAGGGCAACTCAAATGATAAAAGGGTTGGAACACTTTCCCTATGAGGAAAGGTTAACGCGCTTGGGGCTCTTTAGCTTGGAGAAATGACGACTGAGGGGTGACATGATTGAGGTTTATAAGATTATGCATGGGAAAGAGCAGGTAGAGAAAGAGGTACTTTTCTCCCTTTCTCACAATACAAGAACTCGTGGGCACTCCATGAAATTGCTGAGCGGTCGGGTTAGAACAGATAAAAGGAAGTACTTCTACACCCAAAGAGTGATTAACACTTGGAATTCACTGCCACAGGAAGTGGTGGCGGCTACAAGCATGGACGGCTTCAAAAGGGAATTAGATAGACATATGGAGCAGAGGTCCATCAGTGGCTATTAGCCACAAGGTATAGAAAGGGGCTCTGGGGCAAGTGATGCTCTGTCTTCTTGGTGCTTGGGGGGGCCAACAGTGGGAGGGCTTCTAATGTCCTGGCCCCACTGGTGGACCTCCTGATGGCACTGGTATTTCTGGCCACTGTGTGATACAGTGTTGGACTGGATGGGCCTTTGGCCTGATCCAACATTGGCGTCTCTTATGTTCTCTTATGTTCTAACACAGAGTTTGCCTTTTTCACTGCTGCAGCAACCTGGGTTGACACTTTCATTGAGCTATCTACTACAACCCCAAGATCTTTTTCCCTCTTCATCTCAGCAAGTTCAGACCCCATTAGTAGGGACTTTTTTGTCCCAATGTGCATCATTTTATATGCTTCTCTGTATTAAAAGGGTGTTGAATTTTTAAATTGCTAAAATAGTCTTGTGCCACTTTCCCTCTTGGCTCAAGGCAGCTTACAAATAGTAATTTAAAAGACAATGAATTAAAACCAAATGACCACCCCCATACCTTTGTCTTCCTCTTTTAAAAAATACCTGCATTCATCCCACTCAGCAGCCCTGGTGAAGAAGCAAACCTTGCAGTGTCTCCTAAAGGTGTCCAGAGAGGGGACTTCCCTCTTCAGGGAGCCCATTTCACAGTATCGGAGACACGACGGAGAAGGCCCAGGCTGTGGTCATTACCAGACAGGCCACACCTTAAACAGCCAGCAGGTGGCTTTGGATCTGGACATTCTTTCCTTGTTCTAGGAGGGTGCATAAGGCAGGAAGACTTTGGGGGGGGGGGTGTCTAGATTATTGGGCAGAGGAACGAAGCTGTGTAGGTGTGGTACCTGAGGCTGTAGAATTCTGGCGGAGCCCTGTCCCTTAAGGTTTCTGCTTCAAAGAAGCAGCTTGCAATGGTGGTGATGGCTTCCCCCCTCTCTCCCAGCCTCCTGTCCCGGGCATGGAAGATGGAGGGATGTCGTACTCAAACCAGCAGCAGCAGATGGCGGTCCCTAACCCTCCGCAGCCCCCCATGCAACATCCCAACCATCCCTCACAGCACGGCAGTCACCCCATGGGTGGTGGGGGGCAGCAGCAGGGCGGGCCTTCCGGAGGGCCACACTCCCAGCAGAACCAGTCGAATGCCTCCTACAACCAGCAGCAGCATTCTTACCAGGATGGGGCCAAGCCCAAGAAAGGGCAGCAGCTGTGGAACCGCATGAAACGTGAGCTTCTGTGGGCTAGGGGGAGGAGGGCAGCAGGAAAAAGGGAGCTCTTTTTGTAGCAGGTACTCATTTGCATATTAAGCGACACACCCCTAATGTAGCCAATCCTCCAAGAGCTTACAGTAGCTCCTGTAAGAAGAGTTCTGTAAGCTCTTGGAGGATTGGCTACATTCGGGGGGGTGTGGCCTAATATGCAAAGGAGTACCTGCTACAAAAAGAGCCCAATACCATTTTCTTTTCTTTGGCAGAATTTGGCTGGATTTTTTTTTTGTTACAAAGTTTTTTTATAAAACGTTTTAAGCTTTGATACTGTTCCTCTTGGCTTTCAGTTTGTATTTTGCCAGGGCCCGAGGAACAGGCACCGGCTTGTCAGTGGCAACCACAAATTTAATTGAAACATTGGAGCACTGAAAACCTTTGTTTGGGGGGTGGGGGGGATGTTTAAAAAAAAAAAAGTGCTAGACCCACAGGGAGGAAGTGCTTGAGGAGGGATGCCCCGCTGGCTGTCTTGGAGTCCTGGGACGGGGGAGAAGGGGTTGCTACAGACTCCTGTACATGCTGCCCACTGCTGCATTTTGTTCGGCCATGGGGGCAAAAGAGATGTGCTTTTGCCTCTGTGGAGCAGGAAGTGAGAGAATCTCCCTGGTTCCCAAGCATGGCCAAAATGTGTGGCTCCTTGCCGCTTAAGCTGTCTGTTGGGGCAGGGTGCATCTGATGCGTTGTTTTCTTGTAAAATGCCCTTTTGTGAGAGTATAGTTGAACTATTCAGGATTCAGGTCACTAGGATGTGTTAAATTTCTGAACTGTTAGAGTAAAAATGTCGTTTCTCTCTAGCTTTACTGAGATAACAGTGCACACGGCGTGGCCATTTCTGTGGCAGGCTGCAGTGGCGCCTTTCGCAACAGATCCGAAGGCCATTGAGCAGAGGTGTGGGGTTTTTTTTTTGGTGTGGTTAATCTCTAACCTCACATTCCACAAGGCTTGAGTCTGGTGGCTACAATAACTGATAGGCATCTTTTCATGCAGTGCTAGAAGCTCTTTTCTGTGGAGGACTGAAAGCTGGCTCCCTTTTCAAAAACCTCCTTGCCGTTACTCTCTTCCCAACAGAAGCGCCTGGGTCTGGGGGTCTGAAGTTCAACCTCCCCAAGCGCCCCTTTGTAGTGACAAACCAGAACTTCAACTCCTCAGAGTCACAGCAGCAGCAACACGGCAATTTTGGCTCCCAGCAGAATTCTGAGAAACGACACAATCACAGGTGGGCGTTCGTTCTGCGGGCTCTGCTCCTTGGGGGGCTTGGTTGAGGAGTGGGAGACCATTCAGGAAGGGTAGCGTGGGTTTTAGAAAACCATCTGGCTGCAACGGCTTCAAACACTGTCCCATCTTCTAGGGTAAACAGAGTCTCCAGGTGCCTTGTAGCCCCAGTCTTTGCACTTTGGTAAGGTTTCTAGCCCTCATGGTTCCAAAGGCCAAATATGGATGGTCCAGGTGCGAGATGGCCCTTGCGGGGGTACAAGATGCATGTCACCCCCTTGCCTAGTTTCTGCAAGCCCTACCTAATGGGTTTCTGCCTCTGGGAAAGAAGCACGAGAGCAGTGTCTCCTTCCGTCCCTGGCGTTCTTCCCATCCCCTTCCCACTGCATCCTTGGTGCTACCTTCCAGTACGTACACTCCACTCACGTTGCAATGGAAAGATAACATTGGCCAATCCCGTGGCTGTGGCAAGAGGGAGTGATGCCCTTTTTCAGAGGGAGGGCCTAGCTCCCCGGCCTCAAGAAATTGACCCCCCCCCCCTTCATGGCTGTTATTTGACAATGGAGACCCTGTCATGTTCTGACACTGTGGCCAGGTCCCTGTGTCCTAAGTGCTGAGTTTTAGGCAGAGTCTAGCAAGCAGCACTGGTCACAGTTGACAGGTAAGAGGTAGCTCTTTAAAGAACGGGGCGTATTGACTTCCAAGACATGCAGTTTCACCTGGAACAAGATGCCTGGGTGGTGGTGATACCGTGTTTCCCTGAAAATAAGACACTGTCTTATATTTATTTTTTCTCAAGAAGACACACTAGGGCTTATATACCACAAATGCATAGAAATCCTGCTAGGGCTTATTTTTGGGGTAGGTCTTATTTTCAGGGAAACAGGGTAGTCCTGCACATGGTGGTGTTTCAAGGAGAGCATCTTCTGCAGAAGACCAGGGGAAGGTCTTCTGTTCACAGAATGCCAACTGCTGCCACCTTTACCAGCTGGATATAGTTAACCCTCTAGGGTGGTGTCCCTCCCAGAGCCTTCATTTTGTGTTCTGCCACCATGGCAAAGGCTTCCACAGCACGCAGTCCAGGTAAAGCACTAGCGGGGTTTGGAAAAACCGACTCCTTCCTCCCTGCAGCTCTTCCACGGGTAAGCCGGAAGACTGGCCACAAGACATGAAAGAGTACGTCCAGCGCTGCTTCACAGCCTGCGAGTCGGAGGAGGACAAAGACCGCACTGAGAAGCTCCTCAAGGAAGTGCTGCAGGCCAGGCTGCAGGACGGCACCGCCTACACGATCGACTGGAGCCGGGAGCCACTCCCGGGGTGAGCGGGGGGCCGAGGAAATGATGAGGTGGAGAAGTGGGTGATGGCGGAGCGAGGTTCATTATGGGTGATGGGACAGAGGCTCAAGCGCGCATGCGCAGGCGTGTCGGGTGCCCGGATAGAGGATAGGGATCGAAGCCCGTGACTTGAGTTCTGAGAGAGGGAGTGAGATTTGGGGGGGGGGGGGGTGTTTTTTGGCTTTTTTTTTTCCCCCTTGAGAGGCAAACAGGGTCTGGATCCCTGGTAAGGGGCACTCAGTGGTGTCCGGCATACTTAGGGACGTTGCTATCTCTCTGCAGGCTGGGCCGGGAGAACATGTCGGACAGTCCCAAGAAGAAACAGCAGCGCTGGGAGGTCCCCTCTCTCCACTCGCCACGGCCTTCCATGCAGTCCACCCTTTCCCAGCAGCGGAGCAGCAGTGGCAACGCTCAGCCCCAGCGAGGGGGAGGCAGTGGGGGAGCCGGGGCTGGCCGTGCACGTGGGAATGGCTTCCCTACCAAGTTTGGGAACCGCAACGTCTTCATGAAGGAAAACAGCTCATCCTCCAGTGTCGAGTCGCGCTCCAGGTCCCGGTCTTCATCGCGGTCACCCAACCGCCATTTTCGGAGGAGGTGAGCCGTTGGAGGACTGTTGTAGGGACATCCGACTCTCTGCCGTTAGGTATCGTGCCTTTAAGGAGGGCAGAGGGAAACATGAAGAGTATGAGAGATGAATAGTAGAAAGAAGCAGTGGGGCTAAAAACTTAATTTAGAGAGGAGAGAGCTGGAAGCCTAGATTCTTGGCAAATCAGATCACATTCTTGGACCCCCACCCTGGTACAACCATCCTCATGCGACTCAGTGGGGCAGATGTGTCTTGCAACTTGTTTGTATCCGGGAGAAGTTAAATTATAATGTTTACTGGGAGCAGAAGGATTAAAAGTTTCCTCTCTCTTCCTCTCTCCTCTCTCATAGCGATTCAGATTCTGACAGTTCATACTCAGGCAGTGAATGTCGACTGGGTGGCCGTCGGAATACCCAGAGAAACCGGGGCCGTGGGGGCCACATGGATAGAGGCCGGATGAGAGCCCAACGAGGGAAGAGGTATGTTGGCTGATGAAAAGTGCCTGCACTTCGGTTCAAGGGGCGCCTTGGTTTTTCGGTGAGGGGGTTTTGCTTTGCTGTGTCAGAGGAAGGAGATGCCAGTTCTCTCACAGGTTAGAATTGGGCATGAAGCTCCTTTGGTTCTCACTGAATAGGACCCAGGGGTGAAAGCCCAGGTAGCTGGAATCCGGGATTGCTGGATACTGACGGACAGACTATTAGAGAGGTGGTGGCTGTGTAGAATTGTCAAGTTTTCTTTGGTCTTCAGAGAGACCAGGTCTCGTACACACCCGGGACTTTGCCCTGCTACCTCAGTAATCCTTGCCGTCTGCTCTCTGCAGGCACGACCAGGGCCCTTCAAAGCGCAACCGGAAGCGCAATACCATGGACTACGAAGACCCCGAGAAGGAATTCAAGAAGGAGCGGCGAGCAGCCCGCTTCCAGCATGGAGGCCACTCTAAGAAGCTGCGCCTGGAGCCCCTCATCCTGCAGATCAACAACCTGGACACCATCGGCTCTGACGGGCTCGACTGGAATGAGCTGAAGATCGTGGGCACCTCTCAGGAGATCACCAAGCATTACTTGCGCCTGACCTGCGCGCCGGATCCGTCAACTGTCCGGCCTGTCTTGGTGAGAGGCTCCAGAAGCTGCCTTCTGCAAAAAGAATTCCTGCCTTGTGTCTTGCACCCTCTCACCTTTCTGGTTTTATATCCTGCCTTTCTGCAACTACTCCCTGGAGGGTGGGGAGGAAAGGCCCTGCTGAGGGGACTCTACAGATAACATTGAAAAGTCAGAGTTCATGTCTCATTTCATTGCAACACGTCTTTCGAGGATAGTGCAGTGTTGGTTGGAAGTTGCATACTTTGGCCCGATAGTGAAGGTTGACTTTATCATCTTGGTATGTTCATGGTCAGGCCCGTAGCTGTGGTGAGGGTTTTGGGGGCTTCTACCCCTTAAAGGGCACAACCCCACAAGAATGTCACCTGTAAACACTGCTCCCTCTAAGCTGTGGAGTCTTGTGAGCAAAAATTCTACTTTGTGAGCTACTGGCATTAAAGTTGTGAGTGAGCGATTTGGCTACTGCATAAATTAGTTTGCTCTGGAGCCGTCCTTCCTGAGCTAAGACAAAAATGTGTGATCCAGGGCCTAAAAAACTGCGAGCTAGCTCACACTAACTTAGCTTAGAGGGAACACTGCCTGTAAATGCTGCTTTCAGTCATTTTCAAACATTTTTAAAATGGCGTCCACTCCTCTAAGCAGAGTGGGCTGCTGTAGTTGATGAATTCCCACAATGAGCAAGGGGGTTGGAGTAGGTGACCTCTAGGATCCCTTCTAACTCTGTATCAAGAAGCTGGTCTCCTTTAAGAGAGTTCTTCTGCCTAAGTGTTCGCTTTCTTGACTGTAGAAGTCATCACCCCCACCTGCCAGCTTGTTATCAGAATTGTTGCTTAGGCTGGCAGAAGTGATTAACTTGCAGGGGCTGAGAACTGTCATCTGCAGTGGTTGACAGCTTGCAATTCAGAGATCTATCCTGGCAACAGCTTTCTATTGGCTCAATGGCTTTTCTTTCTGCACTGAGAACTTCAGCCCCACCAGAAAAAAATTTGCCCCACAAGCCTCAAAATCCTGGCCACGGGCCTGCTCATGGTCTGTTTGTTGCATCAGCTAGGCTTCGTAGGGTAGCAATGAGAAGACGTGGCTTTTAAGATTACAAAATAATTGGGGGGGCATGCATAATGGTCACAAGTCTATTCTATATCCCATGAGCTATCCACTGGAGTGATCTGCCCGTACAAATATATCAAACACCAAAAATATGACAGGAGAGCTATCAAAAAAGACCTGGGCTTAATTTAAAAGACCTCACAGATTGCTGCACATTCTTTGCAAGAAGCTGGTTTCTGTAATGTTGCATTAAGGCGTTCAGTCCTGGGGTTTTTTGGGGGGGGAATTACCCCAGTTAAGGTGTACAGTTATTGTGTGTTCCCCTGCTGTCAAAGCAGTGTCATCCACACATGATGGCAGTCACCACAGATTGCAGTGCAATGCATTGTACAGCTGTGCCATGGCTGAAAAACAGGAAGTGGATTATAAAGGCACGTAAAGCAGATAATGGAATGTGCGCCAAGCCACAAACTGTAGATTAAATCGCACAATGTACTGTATGATTAAAGAGCTGCATGGCTCACCCCAGGCAGGTTCTTTACGTTTGGAACAGTGGTGCGGACAGACTCAGGCTTGCCCTGTAGCCAGAGTTGGACCCATGCAGATCTGACACTGTGGAGGGGGGAACTGGGCGGTGGAAGAGAGAAGGACTCTGCAGGGCAAAACAGTCTTGCGTGTGGGAGGGAGAATGAGCGCAGATGCCCCACCAGCCAGGAAACCGGTTAAAAATCTGTGTCCGTGTTCTCATCGATGTTCATCAATCCATTGGGATCCATTGCCGGCTGGTTTCAGTCTTGCTGCAGGACGAACTCCCAAGATCACTTTCATTTATGCTCCTTGGGTCGGTCTCTTACTCGCCGTTTTGCCTCTGCTCCTTCCAGGTACTTAAAAAAGCCTTGTCCATGGTGAAATCCCACTGGAAAGAGAAGCAGGATTACGCCTACGCTTGCGAGCAGATGAAATCCATCCGGCAAGACCTTACAGTAAGAGAGCTCATTGGAGGCTGGGAGCGGACGCCTGTGGATCATTGCTGGGGCTATGGGAGACCGTCTTCATTAGCTTTTTGGTGCTGCAGATGGAGCCTGTGATTGTCCCTTATTTGGCCTGGGAGCTGAGAGTTGTTGCTTCTGGGTTCTCTAGCCAGAGGAGTTGGAGCCTGCAGGCACTGGTGCTAAAGACACCTTCTAGAGACTGCTTTCTTTTAAAAGAGAGTAAAATGCTGGTCTGCAGTAGAACAGCTAGATTGGAGTCGAGTAGCGCCTCACAGGCCAAGAAGATTTTCGGGGTAGACTCTTTCGAGAGTCAGAGCTCCCTTTCTTTTTTGTTACTTTAAAAACATGAGTTGTTTCTAGCCCGTACGGCCATCCAGGTAGGTTTGAAAGTGCGTGGGCAAGGAGGTGTGTGAGGCCTGTGGGCTTCAGGGCCTTGCACAGATCCTCACCAGACCTAACCAGTGCCAAGTACATCAATATATACAGGTCTGATTTGCACAGTTTCTACAGCAGTCACAGCAGTCAACCCAAATTCTGTGCAAGGAAATCTGTCTTTGCACACCGTTCCTTTTAGAGCAGAGCAATCTAATGGCAAGGTTCCTCCGGTCTGTATAAGGCAGCTAATTGGACAGCAGCAAGAGTAGTGGCATTTTTCTGTGCTCCTGTGACACCAGCCGCATGAATGCTATTTCCTAGTTTGCACTACCCACACGTCCTACCTGCTCTGACCAGCTGGCATGTAACTCTACCAGTTGGGCAGCTTTTTCCCACCTGTGTTTACGTCAAACAACTCGTTCCTCTTGTCCTTCATTTGGCACAGTCTGTTCCCTTCCTTTTGTTAAATATTAAGGAAAGGGAAGAGAACAGTCCTCTGTAACAGCAGTTGGATGCTAGGCTGTGTGGGAGCTCCAGAGGTGACACAGGCCATTGATGTAATCTACCTGTGTAACTGATGTAGAGTTCTGCAGTCCCCCAAGGTAGTCAGACCTTGGCAGGCTTGCTGGTTGCGTTTAGGGGTATATTTTGTTTTGGTGTGCAGAGGGAAAACACAGTACAAGCATCCTTCCTGTTTCTCTGCCTCTGGTTGAGAAGGCTGGAATGTAATTTCTTCATGTAACTTATTTATTTATTTATTAGTTTTTATCCCGCCCTCCCCATGGACGTGCTCAGAGAGGGTTACGGAGTCACAAATCTCAATAACAATAGTTAAAATAATTAAATAGTAGTTTAAAACAGTAATTAAAACCACAATCAAGGGTCATGCTACTACGCTCAGTTTAAGCGGCTCCTAAATCAGCAATTTCAGTAGGGGAGGCGAAAGGTGGATTTTTCAACTCCCAGCACCCACGTAGGTTTCCAGTGGTCCCTTTTATTATATATTAATTTACAGTATTTATTAGCTGTTCTTCAGTACAGAGCTCTGGGCAGCTTGTGACCCCCCCCCCCTTCCCCTGGCGCAGGAAATCAGAAGGCAGTTGAGTCACTGCTTAGATAACTTGTGTTTCTTCTCCTGTTTAGGTTCAGGGAATCCGTACAGAGTTCACTGTGGAGGTGTATGAAACCCATGCCAGGATAGCACTGGAGAAGGTAAGGGGAAGTTCTCTGAGGCCACTCGCTTTCCCCAGCTAGCTCTTGACAAGAGCCAAACAAAGAGGACCGGCTTGAACCTACCTGAGGGCAGAGACTGTTGGGTTCCTCTTTCCCTTACTTAAAGGGGAAGCATGCATATCTTCTAAGTTTGGCAGTATAGATGCTTGGAAATGCTCCGGGTGCCTCGGTGGAGGGATTTGTATGACTTACCCGGCTCCTTGGACGTCCCTCGCACTTAACTGCTTTGTTGTCCCCTTGTTCCTCCCCCAAAGTAAGCCCCCAATAAGTAGTTTTGTGTTTAAAAAATACACCCCCCCCCCCATGAGCAAGAATGTTTTTGAATTTGTTGTAGGCATAATTAGCTGTATCCAGCTAGTTACTTAATTTTTTTTATTTTCTATTTCTCATAAAACCTTCCTTTCTCTCTGAGACTCAAGGTGGGTTACAGAATTTTAAGAACAGTTCAGTCAGGCAGCGAGGACTTCCAACAAACCCTGCAGCAGAACTAGGAGTAGTAAATGATGAGATCCTCTTTGCAGCAGGGAGCTGTGGGTGGGCAACAGGTCAGAATACCTCCAGCTTTTGAGGTACAAGAAATGCTCCTTTTTTACGCCAGGGAGCTCAGGTTGACATGCGTGGTGCTCCGCTCTGTTTTCTCTCCACGGTATCCGTATGAGGTAGGTTAGGGTGAGGTTACCCAGCAGTCTTTGTGGCTGAGTGGGGAGTTCAGCCTCCCTGGTTGTGTAGTTGAACCACTATACAAGCCTGGCTCTCCTCTTGGAACACTGTGGGAGTCCCCTTCAGCTAGTAAGAGCAAATTGTGTTCCCTAGAGGAGCAAGAATCTATCTGGTTACCAGACAGTAGGATACGAGGGCTTGAAAGACTTCTTTTAAAAAAAATCTGGTTCTGGAAGATATTACAGCAACTTCAGTGGGATTTGCAGTAATGTTGGATTATCTTTCCCACCCAGGGTGACCACGAGGAGTTCAACCAATGCCAGACGCAGCTGAAGTCTCTCTATGCAGAGAACCTCCCGGGAAATGTTGGGGAATTCACTGCTTATCGCATCCTCTACTACATTTTCACCAAGAATTCAGGGGGTGAGAAAGGATGTGGGTCGAGGGAGGGCCCCTTACCTCCAAGTCTGAATATATCCCATCTCTGCTTGTGCAGTGCCAAATCATTGTCTGAAGGGGAAGGGAAGCAGTTATGGGGTCAATCTGTGTTTCTCAGTCTTCAAGAGTTCCTTCAGGAATGGCAAATCTCTGTGAATTTTCCCTCAAAAAACATACCTTAGCAGGCTCTTTAGCCATTGGAAAAAGGAGATGAGGACTTCCTGTCCTGTTTTTATGCTCCTGTTCCCATCATCCTAGGAGACAGGAAGAAGGCCGGCTGCTCTGTCTGCCCCTGATGGGGAGAGGAGTGTCGACTCTCTTTAATTATTTTCCTGCTCTGCTCTCCCTCAATTTCATTCATCAGAAAGGGGAGTAGCCTGGAGAAGCTTCTGTGTGATCTTTGTATTTTGGCCTTATTCTATTGACAGATTTAGTAGGGCCTTGTAAGTCAAACAGGAGTGATGTGAAGCACAGGAATGGAAAATATTAAATATTTAAGCCAAAGACAATGCGTGTTGAGAGTAAGCAAAGACAGGACTATGAGAGAGAGAGAAACAGCTTGTCTTTTAATTACGGCTGGTCATCTTGCCTGCAGATATCACCACCGAGCTGGCATACTTGACCAAAGACCTGAAAGCAGATCCGTGTGTGGCACACGCGCTGTCCTTGCGAGCAGCCTGGGCCCTGTCCAATTACCACCGCTTCTTCTGCCTCTACCGTCAGGCCCCCTGCATGTCCGGGTACCTCATTGACAAGTTTGCCGAACGAGAGAGGAAAACGGCCCTCAAAGCCATGATCAAAACGTATGTGAAGCTGGGATGGGGCGGTACCGCTCACTGGTGTATTTTCCTACCTCTCCTTCCTTCCTGCACAGCTTCTGTCTTGGAGGGAGGGAAGCCTTGTAGGTAGAGGTGGGTACAGGGGTGGGGGGGTTTACATTTTCACACAGCCTTAGTCCGGAGGGCCATGCCCTTTGCAGGTAAGTGGAGGAATAGTTTTCTTGCCAAGGACTCAGTTTGAGTTTTAATGGCTGAACCAGAGATTTGATTGCAGACTTGGGCTGTGCCAGAAGGCATTTGAATCCGCTTAAGGTTCTAAGTGACTTCTCCTCTCAGGTCCTATCTAGTAAAGGTATTTCATACAGGAAATACACAGGAGGGCTTATATGGATACATGAAGGAACAAGGCAGCATCCACAAAGGAAAAAAAAAAAGATTATGGCGTCCTGGAGAAAATAAGTAGACCTGTGCGTGCATCTTGCCCTTGGTTTCATGTATTTTGCTCCTCCTCACTTGGCTATATCCCTCCCCCCCCCCCCCCCCCAAAGGGGGGGGGGGGGGGGTAGGCAGAAGCAGTGCAAAGAATTTCTCCTCCCCTGTTCCATTCAGTTGTTGTCCAAAGCAGATTGCTCTAAAAACAGAACCACTGCAGTGTTTTACATAAAATGCTCTCTTTGAATTTTCTTTACAATGTGCATGGGCAAATGCACATCAGAGCACACATTCCACTGAAAGCTTAATTCCATATTTAGGGACCTTTTTCAGCCCCCCCCCCCCCCATCACTCTGAGGCATTTCTAGGTGTAGGGGAAGAGATTTTGAAGTATGAATATACCCAGTCACAGTAAGCTTGACTGTGGGTTGCTGTGCCCCTTAGGTCCAGTTTCTCTCTGAACTGATGGGCTGAGTGGAAGTTAGAGAACGGCACACAGACATGATCTTTTTCCAACCCCGAAACCTCCTTCCATAGCCCACAGTTCATAGGTGTTAAGCCAGAAAGCCCTAGGGATTTGCCATTTGGGAACAATGAGCTTTAGAGAAGGCTGGGATGGATGATATTGACCTTCTCCCCAGTAGCCAAACTGACTTGGAAAATACATAAATAAATAGAAAGGAGGAGGGAGTTGAATTGTGAGCCTTGCCAGGGTCCCGGAATGGAGTTGATTCAGGGGCAAGTCTTTCTGTGTGCTTAAGTCTGTATTTGATTCATATCGCAGCCTTTAGCTATGGTTTTCCCCTAACCCCTTTTCGGGAACAGTTACAGCTCCTGCCTTGCAGGCAAAAGATTGTGGATTTGCATTGTTCGTGTCTTCAGTTAGCAGGTCTGGGAAAGACAGAGGAGACAGGACTAGGTTCTGGGGTGTGGGGCGTTTGTGTGTGCGCATGTGTCGTATGTATGCATACTGTCTTAAGGCTTAACTACAGGTTGGGGGCTGACCTTTCAGAGGCCTTGAGGGATGTCCTCCATATTATGAACAGGGCCTTTGAATGCGAAACTCAGTTCCTTCCACCTTTCCTTACTTATAGTAGGAATGAGGAGGGGGGTTGCGATGCTTTGTCGAAGCGCTGCCATTGTGCTCCAAGGGACACTGTACTGGGAGTGCCCCAAGTAGTTTTGCAGAACGCCTCAAGAGAATTACAGCCGGCCCTGTGTCTCTGTATAGTTGGGGGTCATGGGCAAGCAGGTCATACCGGAACCCCTGCATCTCTTTTTTTCCCAGATGAAGCATCACCTTTTACTGTAGCACCCCCACCAAATCCCTCTTTCAGGCTCCCCTTGGCCATAAGGATTAGGAACTTACTCCTCCCCCCCCCCCCAAAAAAAAGAAAAATGTCCTTAAGGTTTCATTACAATGCCAAGGCAACTAAAGGTAACCAGTTGCACACTAGGGGCCGTGTTCTGCTTGTCATCTTAGCCTGCTTTTCATCTGCTGCCTTTTTCCCGTTCACCAGTGTCTCTCTTTATCTCCCTCAGTTTTCGGCCGGTGCTTCTCGTCTCCTACGTTGTGTCAGAGCTGGCCTTCGAGAGCGAGGATGAGTGCCAAGCCTTCCTCGCGGCTCTGTCCCTCGTGTATACTAGCCCCGACGCCACCAAGATTGACTGCAAGCAGAGCTTGGCGGTCCTGGCCAATTTCTGAAAAAGTCTAAACCCCCACTTCCTGCCCCCCCCACCCTGTTTTTATATAACATGTTCATATATGTCTGTATATATAACACCAGATTCACTTGGCTGCTGTGGGCACACAGGAGCCGAGCTCTGCCGCCTCTCCCGCTGTCCATGCCACGCACGGATAGAAGAGGGTAAGATCCATGGACGCCGGACGGCATCTGGGACCATCAGAAACGGAGAAGAGCCGAGAGCTTGGTCTAACAGTTGTGGGGGTTTTGCCAGCAGTGGGCTAGGGGGAGGCGTGGGGAATGTTTTCGCAGCGATGGCTCACCAGTTCACAGCTGTTTTTCTCCCCTTCCTGTTAAGATGAAAAGTACTGTCCATTGGTCAGGAGTTCTGAGAGAAAGGTTGGGGGGAAAGCAACAGAGGTTTGTCATTAAATGGCTGGGAGCTGTGCATTTAATTGCTGCCTTTTCATACAGTGTTGTTTTTGCTTGCACCGCCACTGAGGTGTTTAGGGGACTAGAGTGTTTCCTGCCTTAAACTGCAGTAGGTTCTCTAAACCGTGGCGGTAACTTCCTGTAGAGGCAGAGTCTCAATGAGATTCCACTCGGCCAGGCTCTTGGAAACCCGTGGTACCCTGAGAGCAAATGGCTCCTTTGTGTGTATATATGTGGAATATGATTTTGTACAGAAGCTACCAAGCTGTAAATAACGCTTAGGAAATGTTTCAAGGAGAAGAAAAAAACAACTCATGGTTTTCTACTTTTATATTTTATAATGAGTTTAACAGAGGGTTTTCTCTGAAGATGAAAAATCCAGGTGGTTCTATGTGCACCTTTGTGTTCTACATTGTGCTCCTGAAAAACAAAACAAAAACTAATGCTGTCTCAGTTTTTTCCTCTTCCGAGCTATGGCCTGGCTCCGAAAGAGCGCACGAGAGATGCCACCTCTCCAGATGAACAAAAAAGCCCCACACCAGCCTGAGGAGGGAAAAGCAAAAAGCCAAACCTGCCTTCACTCGTTTCCTGCCAGTGCAGAGACTTTTTCCTATGCAGCAGAGAATGTAATGAGACTTTTTTGTCGTTAAGCCCCATCTGGAAGTGGCGCCGTGAAGCTGAGAGGATCAAGTCCCGGTCAAGGCAATAAGCAAATAGTTGTGGAATCAAATTGGCACAACGCAAGAAGATCCTCGCAACCTCCTCTTTTCCTATTGTGTTCTGGAGTTGTCATGCTCAGTATTTTAATTTATTTATTTTTTTCTCCCTCTGTCCTCAGTTCTTTACAGGTAAACTTAAGAGAAAAAAAAAGCACCACCCCATTTTCACCATCTTCCGTCACATTGGTTCAGTTTTGTTTTTAAACTTTTGAAAGATTTTTTAATTGTCTCCCCCCCCCTATTTTTCTCTCCCCGCCCTTTTTTCCCCCTCCCTAGCTTCTCACACTCCCCCCCCCCTTCCCGTCTCTCTTCCCTTTGCTCTTAACTCCTTTCTCTTTTTGTTTTTGAACATGTGTAATTTGGGGATGTTCTTTTTGGCTTGGGCTGGATTTTTCAAAGATTCCTTTTTCCTTTTCAGAAACCTTTTGAATTTCCTCATTTGATAAAAAGCAAACTTTTAAAAAATATCCCGTAAAATTAGTCGTGGTGTGATATTGTTCCAAGTTCAGCAGATGCAAGGCGGGCCGCCTTTTGATCTCACATCTGAGAGTGAAAAAGGCTGGAGGCAGGTGCAGAGCAGGGTGGAGGGCGAGTCTGCTCTGGAGCTAGGCAGGAACCGGTGGGGTGACAGCGACGTGCATTCTATCTTGAGCTTGGGGGGGAAGGGAGATGCTTTCAAAGTTGCATATCCTGACATGGGCTACTATCTCCTGTTCTGCTTCCACAAAGTTTCACTTACTGACGGTATATTCCTTTGGTGCTGTTCCATTTCCTCCCCCACCCCCTCCATAGATTAAGCTGCAGTGGTCACTATCTCCTGTAGGGGGAGCACCGTGTAAACTCGGCTGGGGGGGAGGGGAAGAGGGGAAGGATTTGAGAGGTTGCTCCATATGCATTAACTGCAAAGCTGCCGCAGTTCTGAGCAGCAGGCAGGTGCTAGAGGCCCACCTTGCTTGCTTTGTGATTGACAGGCAGAGCTGAGCAGAACGTCCGGTTCAAAACCGGAAGGTCTGGCAACCCATCCTTCGTCGTCGGCTGTTAAAAGCTTGAGTACAGACTTCACTGCAATGGAATTGGTGTCTTTGTGTAATGGCAATGAAGGCAGTTGTCGTTTCACCGAACTGCTTTGACCAGTTCTCTCTTCTCCCCCAGATATCCACCCCCACCCCGGTGGGAGCTGGTCAGATTTTGTGCCTGTGCTGGAGGGAGGGGTGTGTTAGCATAGACATGCTTCTTGGTTCCCTAATAACTGCTGCTATGCATTAGAACTGTTTTAAATTGAAATTGCTTGAAATCACCAATCGTAAGTAGGTACAACTATCTCTTCTACACCATGGAAATCCTTTCAGGTGCACAGCTGTGTTGGTCTGCCGTAGAAGAGCAAGGCTCAGGTCCAGTAGCCCCGTAAAGACTATTGAGCTTTCCAGGAGTCAAAGCGCCCTCAAGCGTTTGTTAAGGGAGCTTTGACGCTTAAAGGGTTATACCCGGTGCCTAACGTGCAGTCCGGGGGCCGGATCAGGCCCCCAGAGAGCTTCTATCAGGCCCGTAGTGGAACTGGCTGTCTTCTGCCGCTTCTTCCAGTTCTGCTGCTGCTGCGTCATCGTAGATTTGCACCTTACAGGTACACACCTGAACAGCATACTCAAGATTGCAACAGCACAGACCTTTTGATGCAGTAATTCAGAGCAAGAGGTGTCAGTTATCAGACACTGTTAAATAAACAAGATTGGAAGAGTGCTAATGTTTTAAGCATGTTTTTTTTATTTTAAGTAAAAGAAAAACCTTTGTGTTCGTGGCCTTTATGAAGTTTATACCTCCACTACCTGGCATTACATTTTATGACACACATGGCCCGGCCCAACAAGCTCTCATTTACGTCAGGTCCAGCCCTCATAACAAATGAGTTTGACACCCCTGGGTTATACCCTGGCTGTCTTGTTGGCCGTTAAGGCGCTACTGGCTCCTTGATCTTCTATGCCCTTTCCATCAACAGGCAAAATGCGAGAAGTCCGTGTTTACTGTCTTCTGCCTACAGATTTATCATATAAATGCCAGCACGGCAAAAGAAACTAGTGTCAGCGAACTGGTGAATCTAGTTGTAAATATATCCACACCCGATAATGGGCCTGTCTCTGTCTCCAAGGAAACCGCATGTAAATGCTTCCAGTCTGGCTCACCTGTGGCAGTGACTCATCAAAAGGGTGGGGTGAGCCACAGAGCTTCAAGGCTCCTTGTTCAGCCCGGGTGTGGCATTCGCCTTCTGTTGGAATGGCATTATCTACAGATACGCATAAGATTCAGGCATGACCTAGCTCAGTGGTGGCGAACCTATGGCACGGGTGCCAGAGGTGGCACTCAGAGCCCTCCTTGTGGGCACGTGGGCCATCACTCCAGCCAGGCCCAGACCATCATTAAAGTGTCGAATTCTCTGCCAAATAATTTTAAGTAAATGGAAGCATTTGGGATTGCTTTCCTTACTTTGTTTGGATCATCTTACGTTAGTGTATGTATTGTTTTTTCTAAAGTAAAACCTCAGTATTCAGGTTGGCACTCTGCGATAAATAAGTGGGTCTTGGGTCGCACTTTGGGCACTCGGTCTCTAAAAGGTTCGCCATCACTGACCTAGCTCAAGATGGGTAGCCATGTTAGTCTCTAGCAGTAGAAAAGAGCAAGAGTCCAGTAGCACTTTGAAGACTAACAAAATGTGTGGTGTGGTATGAGCTTTTGTGAGTCTGCTCACTAGATACTGAAGAAGTGGGCAGTGACTCAGGAAAGCTCATCCCCTGCCACAAATTTTGTTAGTTCCTTTGAAAGCAACCTAGGCCGTGCTTTATCTGAAAGCATGTGGTCAAAACATTTCAAGTTTGTTTTGAAAGGTCCTACCAGGCCTCTCATGTGAGTAGAGAAGCCCTTGTGCAACAAAATGAAACAGTGTTTTGTACTAGGCAAACCACTTTGGCTGTCCAAAAAGCTCTGAGCCCGTCCGTGGGGAGGGCAGGGTATAAATACAAAAATAAAATTAAATGACAGCCAGAGCTATCCTGGCTTTCCGCTTCCATCCTTAGGCCTAATAGATCTGTTCCCACTTATCGAGTATTAGGTTCTAATCCTGACTCCTATGGTTAACGGTTCCAACTTGCTTCTTCGTACGACAGACTGGCATAGTTGTTTCCTGCCTACTCTGAATGCAGCCCTCCCACCATTTTGTTCTACGTAACCCTTTTTGTGGAGAGCGCTGGCCAGAATAAACTCAAGTGGGACCAGGAGCGAGGTCAGGGGTGGCTCCCATTACAAGATCCAGGCTCTTCCCTCCCTCAGAGTGCACTGGGGCCAGAGTCCAGGTAATACGTATCTGCTGGCTGACACACCACCTCTCCTCAGTATAAGTCTAATCTCAGTACAGTGGTATAAAACCCATCTGTCCGCCTCCCTTGTCTGGCCTCACACAAGTATAGTGCCTCTACGGCTTCGGTCCCTAAATCTTCAACAGGAGGGATCCATGAGGAGTCTTCCGGCAGTTGCGGCCCCTGCTTCCCCGGGGGGATCTTCACCACTGTCAAATGAAACTTATCTTTGCTAGGAGGGAGAATCACTGTCAAATCCTTCCTGCAAAAGGCATCTTCCAAAACGTGGGCCAGTGTTCCCAGCTCAGCCGTGGATGCTGGGCGCATGTAGAGTACATGGGAATGGAACGCCTCCACCCCCTGGAACGACAGGAGCAAGGCTGGGGGCAGCAGTCGACGGCTGTTAGCTTGGAGCTCCCGGAGAGCCGTAACAGCTCTGTAGATGTCTTCCGGGGTGTCTAAACGCAGCAGGCACAGTGTGAGATGCAGAGTAGCCAAAGGCACACAGAACTGGGCTAAGTCGGGGCGGACCTGGCAGAGGGCCTTCTGGACGTGCCTCACAGCTTCCCGAGTCTTTGAGCCGGTGATCTGGATGGCCACGAAGTGGGTTGGGCGCCGCTTGTGGCCAGGAAAGACTCCCCCATCTCTACTTTCAGAGGCCCCATTTTTCTCATCCTCCGCCATCACTGGCGAATGTCCCCGTTTCACATTGAGAACTGGCTCGGACGACTCCGCCTCCTCCACGGAATGTCCTACCACACCTGACTCGACCACCTTTCCTCCCGCTTCATGGGTTATCTCACTTCCCTCCGAGATGCCGTGTTCGATAGAGATGATGTTGTCCTTTGCTTCCTCAAGCTCCCTCATCCCCTCCCGTCCACCAGCCGCTCTGTCCACGCCCTCTTCCACATCACTGGCTGAATCAAGATGGCCCACCTCCTCTCCAGGATGCCCGGTTCTCCCTCCTGTACTCCCTTTCCCTCCCTCTCCACCTGAAGCATGGCTCTGTGCCTTCTCCCTTTCGGCTTCGGCTTCCTCGATCACCTGCAAGATGGTTCTCCCACTTCCGGTGGACCCAAAGACCTCATCGGTCCGGCTGGCCTTCTCCCACACCACCCGTTCCCCATACTTGAAGTACTGGATTCTGTGTTTGGGGATAGCCAGCACCCCAGGCCCGGCGGAAGCCAGGTCCTCCCAGGAGAAAGCAGTAAAAGGTTCTTCTAAAGTTCCCAAAAACCGATCCAGGTAACCAATGGAGAAGCGTTCAGCTGGCACCTGTGTGTCCCAGAGGAGACGGGAGATGACGTCCTCGGCCGTTTTCATTGCAGGTTTTTTCCCTGAGGGGTGGTGTGGGGGAAGATCCTGGCTGGTAGGTCTGTGGTCTTCTAAATTAGGGGTGTCGCTGGTGTTAGGGTGGGGGCTGCGGCAACGGGCACCAAAGCGGCAGCGCCCTTCCAGGAAAAAACGGCACAGGGGGCCGATCTCAGCTGTAGGGTTCTCAGTCGGTGCTGAATCAATAGGGTGTGTCTCTGGTTTCAGAGTGAGGTCAGCAGGACCCTCCTCAGCAGGGGGGAGTGGCAACTCAGCCATCGCTAAAGTGCAAAGGCCCTGTGGGAGAAACAGAATTAGAACTGGAAAAGGGAACCTGACCTGCCTCCGGTCTTCCCTCTAAGCTGAGTTAGTGTGAGTTAGCTCACAGTTTTTTAGGCCCTGGATCACACATTTTTGTCTTAGCTCAGGAAGGGCGGCTCCAGAGCAAACTGATTTATGCAGCAGTCAAATCGCTGGCTCACAACTTTAATGCCAGTAGCTCACAAAGTAGAATTTTGCTCCCAAGACGCCACAGCTTAGAGGGAGCATTGCTTTAGTCATCAGTTGCACTGGGACAGTGGAGGGGAGGCATTATTAAGGGGGCCAGGGGGCACAGAGAGCGTTGTAGAGTTGCCAGCTCTGGGAGATTCCTGGATATTTGGGGAAGGGGGCGGCTTCAGCAGGGTTAATGTCACAGAGTCCACCCTCCGAAGCAGCCATTTTCTCCAGAGGGAAAAATCCCTGCAGCCTGGAAATCCCCAGGTTGGGGATCTGTTGGCTCCAGAAATACGGAAAGGGTTGCCTTAAAGCTCTCTGCCTGTCTATTAGCTCAGCAAGCCTTGTGCCTCGAAACGCTAAGCTTGTATCATATTGTAGGTCCGTGCCTCGGAGCCTTCCAGCAACCTGGCGGTGGACCGCAAAAAACCCCAAAAGCTAGCGAGAGGAAGCGTTACAGCCAACCCACAACACAACCCCCTGGCCTCGGCCACCATCCCCTATATAGGGGGTGGTGCCTCGGCTCGCAGGCACAAGTGTCCGCGGAATGCAGGCTGCAGCAAGCCCGTGCAGCAATACAGCGCCTAGCACGCCCTTGGCTCTAAGTAAAGAGGAGACAGGCAGGCCCGAAAGGCAGAGGAGGGGCTGAAAAGTTAGACGCGGGACGTGCCTGGCCCCCGCAGCCAGCCCCCCCCCCCCCCCGTTCCCTTTAAATGCTTCTGCTGTCTCTTCGCGTTACATTTAAAGGAACACCCCAGGATCCCAGTCGAGCCGATCTCTACCGCCTTATTCCAACCGAACTGCCCTTCCTGGGGGAAAGGCGGAACTTAGGGGAAGCGTCTGAAAGGCATGATGGGACGGTCTGAGCGGGCGGGCCATTAGCACGCCGCAGCCAGCAGGGGGCGAGAGGCCTTCGGTTTGCGCCAGCATTGGAGAGACTTTAAAGGTACACAAAACCCTTTCGGCAGAATTCCATTTGTGCCAGGGATTACCTTTGGCGCATGTGTGAGGCAGTTATTACAGGTAAAGGTAAAGGTAAAGGTTCCCTTGCTCGAAAGCCAGTCGAATCCGACTCCAGGGTTGCGGTGCTCATCTCCGTTTCAGAGCCGAAGAGCCAGCGCTGTCCGAAGACGTTTCCGTGGTCATGTGGCCGGCATGACTAAACGCCAAGGTGCACGGAACGCTGTTACCTTCCCACCGAAGTGGTCTGTAATGTATTGAAACGTTTACATGAATCCCCTCATAGGACTTCCATGTTAAGCTTCGAGCCAGACCAGGGCTCCTCTGAGCGAACTTCCTATTGGTCGCTTCGTAACAGCGACCAATCAGAACGATACCATTCCCTAGGAGGGAAAGACTCCCATTGGTCCTTAACTAAGCAATCTCATCTCGCTCGAGCATGGGCAGAGTGTTTTTCCTCACCCTGGCCCTGACTATTCTCAGAGGCGGTCCCCACATTTTAGGTATCAGCGGGGAAGAGCTTGAAATCAGAGGGTGTTTGTTAAGCCTAGGGCTGCCAAGTCTGGGTTGGAAAATACCTGGAGACTTTGGGGGTGGAGCCAGGAGAGGGCGGGGTTTGGGGAGAGGAGAGGCCTCAGCCGGGTCCAATGCCACAGAGTCCACCCTTCAAAGCAGCCTTTTTCTCCAGGGGGAGCTGATCTCCGTCAGCTGGAGATCCCCAGGCCCCACCTGAGGAGGCAAAATGGAAGTGGGGGCAGGCCGAGGAAAAGGCTTTTGTGGGAGTCAAGGAGCTGCTGACATCTAATGCCGTACTCACGCATTATGATGAACACAAGCTCCTGGTGTTAGCTGCTGACGCTTCACCGTTTGGAGTAGGCGCAGTTTTAAGCCATCTGATGCCTGATGGGAGCGAAGCGCCTATCGCTTTTTATTCTAGATCACTATCTGCGGCAGAGCGGAACTATGCCCAGATAGACAAGGAGGGTCTGGCGTTGGTAGCGGCTGTCAAAAAGTTCCATGATTTTATTTTTGGCAGACGATTTTTGCTGGTCACTGACCACAAGCCGCTACTGGGGATTTTTGCGCCCGATAAGCAATTGCCAAACATCATGTCCCCACGCATGCTTAGATGGGCGATATTTTTGCAGGCTTATGATTTTGACTTAGAGCACCGGCCTGGGAAAGCGATTGGGCATGCGGATGCCCTCAGCCGGTGCCCGGTGCCGGACATTGGCGCAGACCCTGCCCCCGCCTGTGAGGTCTTGGCAATTGAGGAGCTTCCTCGACCCCCGGTATCATCCAGGGACATTGCAGCACACACGGCCAAGGATAGCGTGCTGTCCCGAGTATTAAACTGGGTTTGGAGGGGGTGGCCGGTTGGAAGCGTTGAACCGGAGTTCGGCCCTTACAAAAGCCGTCAAAATGAACTATCCATTTCTAAGGGCTGTGTATTATGGGGGAACAGGGTGGTGGTTCCTGACAAACTCAGGACGAGAGTGTTAGAGTCGCTGCACGAGGGTCACCCCGGTATGGTACACACCAAAGCGTTGGCCAGAGGGTATGTCTGGTGGCCGGGGCTGGACAAAGAGATCGAAGAATGGGTACGAGGGTGTCCCAAATGCCAGCAAGTCAGACCCGATCCCCCACAAGCTACACCCCAAGGCTGGGAGTCATCTGGTAAACCCTGGGCCAGATTGCATATAGATTTTGCTGGCCCTCTCCAAGGGCAAATGTTCCTAATTGTGGTGGACGCTATGTCCAAATGGCTGGAGGTCGTGCATATGAAATCGACCACATCACTTGCTGTGATCCATGCGCTCCGCCGACTTTTTGCCACCCACGGGTTGCCTGACGTCATCGTCAGTGACAACGGGCCTCAATTTGTGTCTGAGGAATTTAGGCTCTTCCTCACGAGTAATGGCATACGCCAAATGACTTCGGCCCCTTTCCATCCGGCATCTAATGGCCAAGCCGAACGGATGGTCAGGACGGCCAAAGAGGCCCTGGGTAAAATGGACGAAGGGGACTGGAGCCAGAGGCTGGGCTCCTTTCTTTTGCTGCAGCACACCACCCCCTGTAGTGCTACAGGCCGTAGTCCGGCCGAATTGTTAATGGGGCGGAGACTCACGACCCGTTTGAACCGAATGCACCCAGACCTCACTGAAGAGCAATCCGAGCGTACCACGGCGCAACCGAAGGTGCGCATGTTTGAAAAAGGGGACAAGGTTTTCGCACGGAATTATGCAAACGGGCACTTGTGGCTTCCTGGGGTTATATCCGACTCTGTGGGTACTCGAATGTATGTGGTGCAGTTAGCTGACGGTCGAATATGGCGGCGCCACATAGATCAGTTAAGGAGACGTTGGGCTAGGGACAGCGCTGACTCTCCGACGGCTGAATCCCCTGATGTCGAGTGGACACCCCCAGAGCAGGCGGTGAGTACCGAAAGGCCCGGTACTGTCCCCGAGTCAGGGCAGAACCCTGTGTGCGGGGCTGAAATCCCAGTCGAGTCTGTGCCTGATCCAGGCTGTAGTGAACCCCACTCTGACCCACAACCTTGTCTGCCCGTGGAGCCTGCACCGCTCCGCAGGTCCCAGCGTTCGCGGCAAATGCCGACTTATCTGAAGGACTATGAGTGTAAATACTGTTGGAATAACTGATGTACAAAGGTTGATTGTATGTATGTAAATAATAAAACAATTGGGATGATGGCTTAACTTAGGGGGGAGGAATTGTAATGTATTGAAATGATTACATGAATCACCTCATAGGACTCCCGTGTTAAGCTTCGAGCCAGACCAGGGCTCCTCTGAGCGAACTTCCTATTGGTCGCTTCGTAACAGCGACCAATCAGAACGATACCATTCCCTAGGAGGGAAAGACTCCCATTGGTCTTTATTCTAGCAATCTCATTGGTTGTTATTTGTAAGTAGGCGTGGCTACATTAGCCCGGTTATGTTTAAAAGGAGCATAAGCTCCCACTGTTTTCCGTTCTGGTTTCTTACTGAGTTGAGTGCTTGTTCGTTACTTCCAATAAAGCTGAATCACTTGCTGAATCACTCTACGAGTCCTTTGTTAGCGCGATCTAACATGGTCCCTATTTATCTCCTTGCAATGTCTTGCTTTCGAACTGCTAGGTTGGCAGGAGCTGGAACTAGAGACGGGAGCTCACTCCGTCATGCGGCACACTCGGGTCTCGAACTGCTGAACTACCGGCCTTCCACAGCCTGCAGTTCAGCGTCTTAACCACTTGAGCCACACAGCTCCCAGTTATTACAGAGGGAACGTAATAACTTCCCCGAGCATGTGCAGTGTCTTTTCTCACCCCTGACTATTCTCAGAGGCGGTCCCCACATTTTAGGGATCAGCGGGGAAGAGCTTGAAATCAGAGGGTGTTTGTTAAGCCTAGGGCTGCCAAGTCTGGATTGGAAAATACCTGGAGACTTTGGGGGTGGAGCCAGGAGAGGGCGGGGTTTGGGGAGAGGAGGGGCCTCAGCCAGGTCCAATGCCACAGAGTCCACCCTTCAAAGCAGCCTTTTTCTCCAGGGGGAGCTGATCTCCGTCAGCTGGAGATCCCCAGGCCCCACCTGGAGGCTGGCAACCCTAGTTAAACCCCAGATGGGCTTTGCTGACGCTAGCGCCTCTTTTATTATTATTTCTAATTAAAGGCATCAACCATGGCCTTTAACCATTCTTCTCTGGGGTCATCCCAAGTAGTAAGTACACTGAAGGAGAAACAAGCTGTCCACTTGCTCCTCCAGGGACTGCAAATGTTATTTTGCTGTCCTACACACACACAAGAAATAGCCTGACCTGGATGGGCC